ACGTGAAATACGGATATGTCCCGGGAAATACGGACGTTTGGTCACCCTAACTAAAAGTTAAAGAAACAAACAAAAATCTTGACTAAATCAGGGCTGCTCATTTAATTTAATTTATCAATTTTCCCAATTAATTGAAAAACAGATGATTTTAATTATGGCTGGAACAATTAATCAGATTAATGGATTATTGAAATAATCCTTAACTAGTTCAGTAATCGATTAATCATTAACTGGAGTGTAGAGACTCTAAAACATGCCTTAAGCTGACAGAGCGACCCACTTAGAGCAGTAATTATACCAAGATTATTTGAAAAAATGATAGACAGATTAATTGATTTGCAAAATAATCGTTAGTTGCAGCCCTGCGTTTGGTGATTTAACATTTCTAAACAAAGCTCTTTAGATATGCCTAAAAATGTTCAATCATATTGTTAAAACTGATTGAGGTCATTTTGATAGGACACACAGAGTGTTGGTCCCCCAGTGGGGCACAGTGCTGGACGATTTTTGCCCTTTTCAGGCCGATTCTCCAGTCCTGCGCAAATTTTTTGATCGGACTGAGTTTCAGCCTGATCCTGCGTCCTGTAGTACACAGGGGGTAACGAGGGGCAATCAGCCTCTCATGACCACTTCCTGATCAGGAATCGAAAGGTCTGGAGAAAATCAAACATGTTTGAAATTCAGTTGGCCATCGTGATGTTGCATTAGAGCGTCGGGCCGTGCTGTGCGAGAACATACATTGTGAGCTGTGAACCTTTAAAACCTGCGATTTCATTGTACTGTTTGAGCTGTAGCTGCGTGCAACGATCGAATATTTAGCAGTGCACCGGAAAACAAGTAGAAATATTTTTCTAAACAGTCAATTTGATGTTTTTAAGATTTCAGAAATTAAGGGGATTATTTATGCCTTCATACAATTTTGCTTTATGCTGGCATATCTTTTCTCATAACTTTGACAATATATTCTAGTAACATGGAAAATCAGTTTAGTAACTGTTAAAAATATCAGTGCAGATTTTTTTCAATCAGTTTTGGATTTGCAGGTGTATTCAGTTTGCTTAGTAGGGCTTAAAAAAACAATCATCAATCCTTCCTCCCAGCAGCTGGAAGACTTTATAACCATCACTGTTCCCAACAACCTCAATAAGTTGTTATATTCATGCTGATTTTGCTCAGTTTCTATCTTGGTTAAATAACCTGCTGCTGTCATTTTGCACATCTCTGATGTTGCTGCTAATTGCAAATATCCATTACTATAAAAATATCCATAGCTGGATATTGGTTATTTATTCTCCAGGTGCACCGTTTTTATATTGGTAAAACATCTTACAGTATTTTATTGTTTATTCTTTAACTCTTCAATATTATGTTATTCTAATACATTTTTCTACATTTGTGTGACCATTTCTTTCTATAATCTTTTTGCTGCTGTAAATTTCCCCATTGTGGGACAATAAGGTAATTTTCTATTTGCGTTATTTAATTGCTTAGTAGAATCTGAAAAACATGATTCACTTTTTTTTTTTTTTTTTTGTAATAAATAAATCTGAAGTCTTTTAATCGTTTCTCATCTTTATATTCTCGTTTTTCTGCAACCCAAGCATGAAGAAGTGTTTTTTTCTCCATTAGAGATGATATCAAAGCTGCAGCTCTCTGCCATCAGGTCCTTTTTGTTTCCAGTATTGTTGTTGTTGTTGTTTTTCTTGCTGTGACTGAATGAACCGGATCATACCTGGTTGTGTGTGAACACAGCCATCCCAGGACAGAGCACCTTGGAGCCGCAGCGCTGACACACAACAGCCTTCAGGTTCTTCCCGTCCTCAGACACCAGCTCGGACCGCTCTGGGCTTCCTTTGGACTCCTGCTGGTTCTCCATGTCCTGTCAGGCAGAGTTTGCGGTGAAGACAGCGCCTCTTTAATGGGGGGAAACAAAGGGCAGCTAGCATCAGCCGTTTGATCCAATAAAACCCAAAATGTTCCAGCAGTTTGGACCCCGGAAGTAGAAAACGTCAGAACTTTGTAGGACGGAAGTGCATTACAAGTTTAACCGAATATTAATTTACATTGTCAATTCTACAATCCCAGGAATATGAAAGCTAAAGCAGAACAAAAGCAGATAAAAAATAACTGCCTCTAATATTTAAGCTAAAATCTATAAAACCACAGCCAACCCTAACCAACTGCGACAAGACAAAATACTCAATATCCTCCTCTTTGACACAAGTGTTTCATATTTATATTAAGCCATTTTAGACCTACCTTAATTACGAATCATAAAAAGATATGGCATTAAAATGTGATCTTTAAACAACTAAATTAGCCATTTGAATGCTAGCTGATCTGACGGTGCAACCCTTAAATGATTCCGCAGGGAAACAACTTCTTCTTCTTTTCTATCATGGCGGATCGCAAGCAACTTTAAGGTGCATACCACCACCTACTGTTCATGAGTGTGTAGCAACATTGTTTTACATCTTTTAAATTCTATTTTTTAATTTTATATGCTGAAGATAAATAAATAATGCTTTTCTTAATCTATAAATATCCTTTATATTTCATTTATTTCCCAATAATCCTTTAAGACTCCATTTCAACTACTCTTCTCAATTTCTCCCTTTCAGGTTCATCAATACGTGTTCTACATTTTCTATCTCACCACATCCGTCACATTTATCATTATTTTTCCTCCCTATTAGTTGTAAATTGTCATTTAAATAAGTATGACCTACTCTTAATCTGATCATTATTATTTCTTCCCTTCGGTTTCTCTCATTAATATTTCTATTTAATAGTAACTTTTGTACTTTAAATAATCTTCTTCCTTTTTTATCTTCATTCCACCTTTTTTGCCATTTTTTAATTTCTTCCCTCTTAATAAATGATTTTCCTTCCCCCTTGTAAATGTTATTGCCTCCTCTAAAGCCCTTTTTGCTAATTTGTCTGCCTTTTCATTTCCTTTTACCCCTTCATGTGCTGGTACCCAACAAAACCAAATATCAATGCCACCCCTGTATAATCTAAATAAACTGTGCTGAATTTCTAATACTAAATCTTTCCTATTATTTCCTTCTCCCTGAATACTTTCTAAAACTGCTTTGGAATCCGTGCATACCACCACCCTGTCTGGTCTGACCTCCTCAACCCATTGTAAACTCAGTATAACTGCCAACATCTCTGCTGTAAAAAACAGATAGTTGATCTGAAATTCTTTTAGAAATGTGTATTTTGAACTCTGGTACATATATATTCCTATTCCCACACACCCTTTTAAATTCTTAGAACCATCAGAATATATTTTAAGGTAATTATAATATGAGTTTCTTAAATATATATCAGTCTGTATCCCTATTTCGTTTAAATTCCAAGCATATTTCATTTTAATAAGTCTTGTGTCTACATTTATCTCAGGAAATAGCTATGATGGAATAACACTAATTGGATTAAACTGTGCTATTTCCTTATCCTCTAATCCAAACTCTTTAATCAATTTGCTTATAACCCATCCAAATCCATTATTATGGAACTTTGAATATTCCCAGCAAGTTTGTAGAATTGTTGAAGTTACATTTTCATGCATACTACTTTTAATTTTCACCCAATATACTTAACCTAATTTCATTCTTCTCATTTCCACTGGAGTTTCTCCAGTCTCGTCTAAAAGAGCGTTGATAGGTGTTGTTTTCACTGCTCCTGTACATATACGTAAAGCTCTACTCTGTAATCTATCTATCCTTTGTAATGTTGTTTTAGCTGCTGCTCCATAAAAGGGAAACAACTAATCAGTATTCTTCTTTTATTAGTTTAATGGCAGATTGCAAAACACTACATCCATATATGAATATATAAATACACACATATACATACATACTTATACCCATATC